TTTTTTTTTTTTTTTTTTTTTTTTTTTTTTTTTTTTTTTTTTTTTTTTTTTTGAAGAATTGTAAAAGAAAAAATTTCTAAGTTAAAGAAAAATTATTGTGAGGAAATAAAATTAAAATTTGTTTAAAAATTAATTGCTTGGGAACGTGAGGGGGAATGGTGGGTAAAGGTGTGCAGAAGAGTATTACGGCACGATTGGCAGATATACATACATAGTGGGGGAGGGGAAGTGTGTAGAGAACAGTAGGTGAGGGAGACGGGGTAAAGGGGAGAAACTTGAGAGGAAGAGACTTCGGGGTAACCACTTCCGTTTCAAAAAATCTGTCGGTTTTAAAATTCCAGCCCCCCGAGTACGCGACATAAAGAACTTCGTTCTAAAAAGTAGAAAGAAAAATGACTCAGTTCAGTGACTTTATCAACGAGCTGGAAACCCATAACGAAGGCCCGACTAATAATATTATAGCTCACATGGGCATGCCAGGGCTCAGTAGAAGACAGCAAAAAGAAAATATGACGGAACAAATGCTAGAACTGAAACTCGAACCAGAAAAGTGTAAAAAACTTGACGCCCTAGACGAAAAGACTAAGGCTATAGTAATGGGGTTATTTCCAAGGATTAGAGCAAAGCTAAAGAAGACAGAGAAGGTGGAGGTCCCGCACAAGGTGATTACAGAAACCATCCGAAGTTCGTCACCGACAGACGGGGATTACAGGGATATATCTCGTGACACAGACGTAAACACAGGATGTATAAACAAAGAAGTGGGTTTTTTTTTTCAAGTCGATTAGTCAGCGAGCGAAATAAGAGAAGAGCTGAAGAAATACGTGGAGCTCGAACAAACAAAATCAGAATGCTATCTACACAAGGGGGCATACCAGAGAAATCAGAGCGGCCAATTTCGGTTGCACCTGGTTACCAATATAAAGGATCAAGTAATGCCACGATAAGAGATTTATACAATCAACAGCTGTGGGATAGAATAAAAAATACGAGCGAGAAACTCGAAAGAATGTAGGAAGCCGCATTTATAGCAACAGCACCACGGCCAAATAATAATAACGCAAATAGAGTCAATTCTGAAGTAAATAGGGATAGAACATGGGGTGATTTAGCACCTAACAGGGTCCAATACACAAAATACATACAGGCTACAAACAACGATAACCACCGACGCCGACCGCAGAACTCACAACTAAACATTCTTCCCACGCTCAGTCACATGGCAAGCAAAATTCCGTTCTTTGATGGAGACCCAATCAATCTGTCACTATTCAAAAGGATGGTAAGGATGACTGCAGAAAGAGTGGGCCCTGAAAATAAAATATTTTTTCTTGGCACACTTGCAAGCAGACTTAAGGGAAAAGTGGCTAAACATTTCGCGCCCAGTCTGGCTCAATTTGCGACACTTCAGGAGTTTTTTCGAAAACTTGCGAGGCGATATGAGAGTACAAACAATTCAGATACGCTGATGACACAGCTAACGATAATTAGACATCAAAACCGGGAATCAATAGAGGATTACAGTGGAAGAGTACAAGGTTTGTATAATAGGCTGACGATGCTGCATGATTCTAACCCAAGCCTACTCCCTATTCAGAAGCAGGTTCTGAAAGAAAGTGCAGAGGCAGAGGCGGTAAAATGATTCACATATGACATGCACCCAACATATAGGTGTAAAATTACATGTTGAAACCCAAGGACCTCTGCGAAGCAATTACAGAGGCGCTGAAAATAGAGAGTGATCTTAGCTTACGGCATGCGATACCAGTACGTACACTTCCCGCACACAAAAAAGCAACAACCAAGTGGGGGACAGTAGTAAATCTGGCAAATATAGGAGAAAAAACAACAGAAACCACCAACAGGGCGTAAGGAGCAGCAGCAGCAGCAAACGTAAAACGCTGTATACACTGCGACGGTCAAACCCGGCATTCAGTCAAAGAATGCCGAGAACTGTTAGCGGTGATAAACGACAGAAAAACGCTAAAAGATAATGGGAGAAAACAAAAGGGAAGCTGCAATTTCTGTCAGAGACCGGGACACTATGCGAGAGATTGCCGTTCGCGTAAGCAAGACAGGGAGGAAGAGGAGAGACAGTGTAACGAGGGGCATAACCAACCAGTGGATAATACCAATACCAACAGAAACACCTATCATTACGGGAACGGAAATGACCATGCTTACAATTATAATAATAGTTATCATAACAGGCGTTATAACAATGGCCCAACAGAGCCTGATAACAGAAATAATTTCTACTATAACAGGAATAACAACTACAATCATAGAAACTGTAATAACAATAATAAAGATAACAGAAATAAAAAAAACAACAGTAGAAATAGCAATTATAATGATAGGAATGATTACAATAACAAATGCAATAACTACAATCCCAGAAGTAATAATCATTATGGAAAACTGCGGCTATGGTAATTCGTATAATAATGACAGCAGGAATACATTTGACAGCTATGAAAATGGCTATAAAAATCAGGGTATCAGGGACGACTACGATGAGGATTTAGTTAGGAAAGGGCCGCCACAGAATAAGAGCCCACAGCAGCAGGAA